TGTCCCTGAGGATCAATGTCCCTGAGGATCAGTGTCCCTGAGGATCAATGTCCCTGAGGATCAGTGTCCCTGTGGATCAATGTCCCTGGGGATCAGTGTCCCTGAGGATCAATGTCCCTGGGGATCAATGTCCCTGGGGATCAATGTCCCTGGGGATCAGTGTCCCTGTGGATCAATGTCCCTGAGGATCAGTGTCCCTGGGGATCAGTGTCCCTGAGGATCAATGTCCCTGTATCAATGTCCCTGAGGATCAGTGTCCCTGAGGATCAGTGTCCCTGTGGATCAATGTCCCTGGGGATCAATGTCCCTGTATCAATGTCCCTGGGGATCAATGTCCCTGGGGATCAATGTCCCTGGGGATCAGTGTCCCTGAGGATCAATGTCCCTGGGGATCAATGTCCCTGAGGATCAGTGTCCCTGGGGATCAATGTCCCTGGGGATCAATGTCCCTGTATCAATGTCCCTGGGGATCAATGTCCCTGAGGATCAGTGTCCCTGGGGATCAGTGTCCCTGAGGATCAGTGTCCCTGAGGATCAATACCTACACGTTTACTGGCACAGGAGGTGGAGCAGGGTGGGTCCAGGTGCCGTGGAGGGAGCTGGGGACAGGGAGCTGGGGCAGCGTGAGGAGGAGCTGGTTGTGTTGGTGCTGGGTCATTGCCGCCTCCCTGCCGTGTCTCGGGGTGTTCCGTGCTGACATCAGCCCCGTTTCTCAGGAGAAGAGGCTCAGTGCCACGTCCCATCGCAGCGAGGACTCTCACCTGTCCAGCAGCACGGCCTCCGTGGAGGCCAGGCCGGAGGACAGGGAGCGAGGCTGGCCCAACGGGCAGGGCCCCGAGCTGCGGGACCCGGACAGGGAGGCCAAGGCCAGAGAGGAAGAGGAGCACAAGGAAGCCGCTGAGCAGGAGGAGGAAGATGTGGAAGTGGAATACAATGAGGTAGGAGCCTGGGAACTGCAGCAGGGCCGTGAGAAACAGGGAAAGGACCTGGAAGTTTCAGAGGAAGTGGGAAATAGATGCACAGGTAAATGGATGTGGGATTTGGGCATCACTGGAGGCAGATCCAGGCCGTGGAAGGCAGAGAAAGCAGAGACTGAGGCAGCCTGGGGGAGCTGCACACGTGGGAGACTGGGCTGGAGAGTCTGGGAAAACTGGGAAAACTGGTGTGAGTGCCCTCCATCCCTGGAGCTGACAGAAACACAGCTGGGGGAAGGTGTGGTTATGGAAAAAGGCAAGGATGGGGAAAAGGTAAAGCCTGGGTGCATTTTTGTGATGCACCCCTGCATTTCCTGAGCACGCAGCAGTGACACTGGCTCTGCCCGTGCCAGCAGGGGCTGTGTCCACCCCCTGTTCCGTGGGGCTCACAGCATTTCTGGGGCTTTGCTGTCACAGCCCACCGTGCACTTTGCTGAGGACACGCTGATCCGCAGTGAGGATGAGGATGAGGATGAAGAGCGGCCGTTCCCGGTGGAGAAGCAGAGGCTCATCCGCAAGGACACGCCCCACTACAAGAAACACTTCAAGATCACCAAACTGCCCAAGCCAGAGGCAGTGGTGGCACTTCTGCAGGGGCTGAACAGCGATGGGGTCCCCAAAGAGGAAGAGGAGTTGGGAGGCTGCAATAACAACGCAGAGCCCAGGGATCAGGAGGAATTGTGGGATGAGGAGGACAGGAGGAACGGAGCTTTGTCTGCTCAGCCATCCGTGAAGGTGAGGTCTGCAGGGGAGGGGAGGTCGGAGGGAGGCAGCCCTGCCCTCCTGTCATGAGCAGCCCTGCGTGGTTCCGATGAAACCACGGGCAAGAGGCTCCAGCGCTGGGGGCTGTGCCGGGTGGGGCAGCTCAGGGTCCTGGGGCTCGTGGGGTGGTCACAGAGCTGTGCTGTGTCTGACACCTTCACTGTGTCCACCATGCCCTTGCACGTGCTGCTCCCTGTGCTGCAGGGACAGTTCTGTCTCCTCCCTGCTGTTCCTTCAGCCTCCTCCTCGCCTGCTGGTGCACAGGAGGATGAGCTTTGTGTGGATTCAGTCTTCGACGTTTGGGCACTGACCCTTGTTGGCTTCCTGGGGCTGAAGTGCAGCCAGGATTGTGCCCTTCCCTGAGCTTCCCCCAGCACAGCCTGCTGGAGGGGGCTCTGGGATTTCGGGGAGCTTGTGCTCTGAAGTTCTTTGGCCTTGCTGGTTATGCTGGGGCTTCAGAGGGTCCTTGGCTCTCTTCAGCTGAAGCCCCACGTGTGGGTAGGGAGGTTCCTGCTTGAGGAAGTTCCTCACAATGGAATGGGAGTACAAGGATGAGGGAGTACAGGATGAGCCCAGTGCTCACCCAAGCTGGTTTGAGGATCTTGAGCTGTGTGTGGTGGGCAGAGGTCGGGATGTGGCTGAGTCTCCATCCCAGTCTGACACCAGCAGATCTCAGGGTGAGATGTGAGTCCCTGCATGTGGAAGGTGCTGGAGTAAAAGCAGCTTCTGCTGTAACTGCACAAGCTCCAGGGTGCTGGGACCATTCCCACCCTGCTGGAGCTGGGGGTGCCCGGGGAAAGGCCCTTTCCCTCAGTGGGTGCTTGCCTTGCTCTGTTTGAGCCAGTGCAGCTCATCCTGTGCTCCCTAGGGATGGGACAGTTCTCCCACTGCTGCTGAAGTTCCTCAGAAGGAATGTTTGAATTCGTCCCAGGTCCCCTTCATCCAGGACCTGGCATATTTGGGACTGCCCTCACCCAAAGGTTTTTGTAGCTGGGGAGGCACTGGGGGTGTGATGCCTGCTCAGGGCTGGGTACCTGTCAGAATCTCCCCTGGCTGTCAGCTCAGCCTTCAGCCTGGGACCCTTTCTCCTTTCTGTGGGGCTGGCTTGGATGGCTGCTCATGAAAACATTTATCAGCTGCCTCCTGAGCTGTGTGCCAGGAGTGGGGATGTGGGGAGCAGTGTCCCTGTGCAGGGAGGAGGAGGCAGGGTGGGCTGAGCAGGAGGATGAATCCTGAAAGCAGAGGGTTTTGTTGCAAGGACAGCTGGTTTTTAGAAGAAATCCTGAGGTTTGCTGCAGGAATGTGATTTGAGAGCAGGATCCCAGGTGCCTGTCAGGATGTTCTGTTTCAGCAGAGAAAGGGACGGGTGCAGTTGTGTTTGGGACTGCTCGTTGCTGTGCAGAGCTCGTGGCACCACAGGCTCCTCGGGGCTTTCTCCTGAGTTTAACCCTTCCTCCATGCCAGCGTGACCTGGTACCGAGGGGATGAGGTCAGCTCAGGGGCCAGGGCCTCGGGGTGCCAGCATGAACAAAAACTGCCTCAGGGGAGGTGCTCCTGGGCAGGAGTGTGCTGGCACCTGGCGCTCTGGGGGCAGCCCCGGGACTCTGGGGGCAGCCCCGGGACTCTGGGGGCAGCCCTGGCACTGCTGAGGGGCTGGGCAGGAGTGGGGGCTGCTCTGGGGATGGGGGCAGCTCTGGAGCTGTGCTGTGGGGGGCTCAGCCCCACAGGTTGGAGGAGAGCAGTGACCCTGGGAGCTGGATCAGCTCTGGATCTCTGGAGTGACTGCAGGAGCTGGATGAGCTCAGGAGCTCAGCTCTGGATCAGCTCTGGAGCTCAGCAGTGATTCCAGGAGCTCAGCAGTGACTGCAGGAGCTGGAT